GATAAATGTCCACGCAAGGGGCGGGGGCGGGGGTGGCAGTGGCAGCCGTGCGGAAACCACAGGCCTCCAAGCTTCCTGGATGCATTACTCATCCGCCCACCGTCAGTGGTGGCCAAGGGGCGGGCCGAGGGCTGCCGAAAAGGAGCTTCACCCTCCTCCCCTCCCTCTCCCTAGGCCTCGCCCTGGTCACCCCCCTCCCCCATCTCCAAGTCCCGTCCCAGTCCTAACCGGAGGCCTCTACAGAGTGCTTAGAGTCAGGATTCCCCCAAGGCAATTTCCTGTAGACTCCAAACTCTCCACAGTCCACCCAGTCACCCACGGGTCGCAAACTCCCCATGGCTGAAGCCCGAAGTAGTTCATTTTCGTCAACAAACATGTCTTGTGCAGATGCTGCATACCAAGCACACACAAAAATTCGTCTCTGGTAGATCCCACAAACTGGTGAGGAGTGGGGGAGGCAGAGAGGAGACAAGTAGAAGCAGTGGAAGGAGATGAGGCCGGTGAGTGGAGGAGGAATACAGTGTGGAGTAATGAGGCACAGAGATATTAAGTGATTTATTCAAGATCACAATTAATAAGTGGCAGAACTGGCATTTGAACTCAGGTGGCCTGGAGCCAGAGCCTGGATCTCAACCCTGCTCAGAAAAACACAGGCAAATAGCATTTATATAGCACCAACTGTGTACCAGGCACTCAGCATAATTTATCTCACTTAAAGCTCACAATTTTTGCCATAGCATGGGTGGACCTAGAGGATATGACGCTAAGTGAAATAAGCCTGAGAAAGAGAAATACCTTATGATTTCATTTATATGTGGAATCTAAAACACCAACCCAAAAAAAACCCCACAAAATAAAATAGAAATATACTCATAGATACAGAGAATAATCTGGTGGTTGCCAGAGGGGGCATGGGGTGGGTGAAATAGATGAAGAGGATTAAGAAGTACAGACTACCAGTTATAAAATAAGTAAGTCATGGGAATGCAATGTACAGCACAAGGGAATATACTCAACAGTATTGTAATAACTTTGTATGGTGACAGATGCTAACTAGAATTATCATGGTGATTATTCCATAATGTATAAAATTTTCGAGCCAACATAGTATACCTCTAAAACTAATATAATATTGTATGTCAACTATAACTCAATTTTTAAAAGTTCATAATAAGCCTCTGAGATGGGTACCAGTATTATTCCCATTTTACAGATGAGGAAAACTGAGGAATAGAGGAACTGAAGAACTTTCACAGATCACAGGGTATGGCTGGGATTGGATTTAGGCCAACTCACCCCAGGATCTCAATCCAGGCTTAGCAAGCGGGAAGGTGATGGTTAACGAATGAGCCCTGGCGTGGGGGGAGTTGAATGGTGGTGAAAGAGACCAGTGAGTGAGTCAGGAGAAAACTGATACTCTTCCATCCTGCCCTGCCCCTTCCCCATCAACCCCTCCCTGACCATGCCTCTGGTAGGGGGTGGGGTGGGGTGAGACAACCCCTGCCTGCCAGATTCCAGATGTTATCTCAATCTTCCTAGGGTCCTGGGAAAGGGCTTCCGGGCTGATTAACAGCCTTTGTTGTTCAGGAAGGACGGACCAGTAATAATGATGGTAGTCATGATAGCAGTCACTTATTGAGCATTTACTGTATACCGTGCCCCGGAGTCTTTGCGGAAATTCTTTTTTTTAAAATATATTTTATTGATTTTTTACAGAGAGGAAGGGAGAGAGATAGAGAGTTAGAAACATCGATGAGAGAGAAACATCGATCAGCTGCCTCCTGCACATCTCCTACTGGGGATGTGCCCGCAACCCAGGTACATGCCCTTGACCGGAATCGAACCTGGGACCTTTCAGTCCGCAAACCGACGCTCTATCCACTGAGCCAAACTGGTTTCGGCTGCGGAAATTCTTTTATTCAGTCTCCATTACCCTCTTGCTAATCAAGCTGGATTAATTTAGGGAGATTAACCCAACCAATAGCAACACCATCAGAACAACAAAAGCTACCACCAACACTTATGGAGTGCTTAATGAGTAGCAAGCACTATTCTAAAATCTTTGTGTAAATACTTTATCTCTCAGTCAATCCAGATTGCCTCCTTGTTAATGTTGGCTAACGAAGAGACGATAAGCCAATAATAATAATAGTACCCAACACTTTTGGAGGATGCAGACTTCCTGTGTGCCAGATATTGTGCTAAGCATTTTTCCCGACATAACACAATATCCCTGTGAGTTAGAGACTGTTCATATTCTCATTATGCAGATGAGGAAACTGAGACACACAAAGGATTGAGTGAGCTGCCCAGGAATGAGAGTGAAGAAATGACTGTTGGGATAACAAGAAAGAGAAGGAGGGAAGGACGTAAACCAGGAATTTGGAGAAGCTGATTGTGAAAGTAGGGGAGTGAGAGTGAATGAGACAGGGAACTGAGTAAGCCAGCGGTGGAGCCAAAAGGAGAAGTGAGGGCAGGGAAGTGTTGCTGCAGCCCCTTGCTGACTCTGGTTCTGACGCCAGCTCTGTGACTCCGAAAACTGTGTCAGCACAGAGTTGTGTCGACTGTCTACATGCGAGGGGTCGTGTGGCACCAGGTTATTGTGCAGGTTTTGAAACTGGTGGGGTTTCATGAAGGGGTGTCCACGTGTGTGACCATCTGAGGGGCTGGGTGGGGGTGGGGGCTGTGGGGCCCAACTGGGGGTGCAGAACGGACACACCTGGCAATCTCCAAGCATACCAAGTGCTTGGGCCTGACTGTGCCCTTTTTACAGATCAGGAAACAGAGGCCCAAAGAGAGTTAAGTGACCTGCCAGGGGTCCCACATGGTTTTAGGAAGAGGAAACGTGCCCTAGCTGGTTTGGCTGAGTGGATAGAGTGTTGGCCTGTGGACTACAGGGTTGCAGGTTCGATTCCAGTCAAGGGCACATGCCTGGGTTGCGGGCTTGATCCCCAGTGTGGGGCGTGCAGGAGGTGGCCAATCAATGATTCTCTCTCATCATTGATGTTTCTATCTTTCTCTCCCTCTCCGTTCCTCTCTGAAATCAATAAAAATATATTTTTTTTAAAAAAAAGAAGAGAAAACGCTAAGATTCAAAGCTAGGGCTCTCCAGAGGACCCCAGAGTGCAGCACTCCTCTCGCGCACACATGTGCGGGCACACTTACACGTGTCCACAGTGTTGTGTTCAGGCCCAGGCCCAGAGGAAATAGGAGGGTTTATAAAAAGAGGAGCCTAGAAAATCTGGGGTGTGTGTGTGTGTCTCTGCCCATGAGAGTTGCCTGTGAGCCTTTAGGTGGCATGTATGTGGTGTATGTATGGACCTGAGGGTTTTGTGTAGCCCTGTGTGTTTTGTGTTGCTTCTGGGAGTTGTGTGTCTGCCTCTGTAAGGCGGGTCTGGGTTGCACATGTAATTGTGAACGTCTCTCCTCCCCTCTGTGAGCTGTGTGCGTGTTGTTATGTCATCAACCGCCTCTGCAGTGTTTCCCTGCAACACTACCTAGAGGATCCCGCAAGCCCATCCCAACACGGTGCCTCTCCGCGCCCCATAATGACGCCAAGCATTTGGGAAATGAGGAAGGTGGGAGTGCAGGGGGGAGGGCAACGCCTGAAGGTCAATCGGTCACCCAGAGCTTGCGGGCTTCCTGTGCCTGTCGGGAACTGGGAACCACTGCGGCCCCAGCCACCCCTCCCGGAATGCCATCTCTCTACCCCGTGGGGCAGCTGTCTGCATGGCAGATGGAGGGCGTGGCGCTGCGTGCATCCTGCTATGATGGGGCTGGGGTCATCCAACCTGGTCCCCTGGATCCTGCCCAGGATCTGGGAGACTTGATGTATGCCTGCACCTGAATGTGTGAGCATGTGAGTGTGTGTGTGTGTGTGTGTGTGTGTGTGTGTGCGCACGCGCGCGCATGAGTGCACATGCCCAGGAGTGTGGTCTGTGTGCTTAGGAGGGTTGTGGTGTCTCTGGTTGTGCGTATGCCTCTCTGTTTTTACATATGACAAGGTATGTTGTGTCCCTAGATATACTTTTTGTGTGCCCAGGAGTGTGGCGTGGGTTTCGGTGGTTCTGTGAATACCTAAGTCTGGGTACCTTTCTTTGTATGTGGTGTGGATCCTTCTGTTTGTTGGGAGTATGCCTAGGAGTGTTGTATGTGTGTCTGTGAGTGTTGACTACATGCCCAGTTCTGTTGTGTGTGCCTCTCAGAGCTGTGTATACCTCTGGGTGCTATGGTTGTGCCCTGAGGGTTGTCTTTGTATTACAAAGGTAATCTTTCGCGATGTGTGTGTCCCTCTATATTGTGTGGATTTGGGTGATGGGAGGGGGCTGTGTGTGTGCCTGAGCCTGAAAGTGTTGTGTGCTGCCAGGCCAGAAGGCTGACAGAAGCTCTGGTCCCTGCCCCACACGTGAGCACGAGGCTGGCTGAATGACTGTGGGCATCTACGCAGTTGGAGGGCGAGGTGCTCCAGAGCTTGTGTTGGTTGCAGGTCTCTCCATGTTGTGGGTCTCAATGTGCATGGGCATCTCTGGGTTTGGTTGTGTAGATCAGAGCTTGGAGGGTTGGTGTGCATCTCTAGGTTGTGTATGTGTGTGGACAAGGCTTACATGCAAGGCCTGGCTGAGGGGTCCAGTTGCTACATGCTCACCACCACACCCCCATGCACATACTCACTTCTCTATCATCCAGTTACTGTATAAATAAACTTTCCCTTTTCCGGAAAAGCGCCCCCTCCCCCTTTTCCCATGCGTCTGCCTGGGAAAGCAGAGGCGGGAAGTCTGGGTGGGTGGAGGGAGGGACAGGCAGAAAGGGCTCCGGGTGTGATTCTGAGCTCAGAGGTGCTGTGTGATCCCCAGCTGCTGTCTGCTTATCTCTGACCTGCCTCTTCTGGGAAATGGCTCCTAACATGTGGCTCCTGCCGGATGGGCTCCCCTCAACACCACCCCCACCCCTGGCAATCAGCCCTCCTGCCCTGACCATGCTCTGCCTTTCCACCCTACCAGCTCAGCAGCACAACATACCCTGTGGTTGTGAAGATGGGGCATGCACACTCCGGGATGGGCAAGGTGAGTGCCCGAGTTGGGTGTGTCCTTGTGTGTTCCTAAATGTATGTAGATGTATATTGTGTATTCAATGCACACCGCTAATTTTGTATAATTGTGTGCCCTGGGGTGTTTATCTATTTGTATCTTTCCCCTCACATTTGTAGAATTTGTTGGCCCAGTTTTCCATCACGCACTCAGCCAGTTTGTGTGTCCTGTTATTTTGTGTATATGCATGCCTCTGTGTTAAACACACACTATGTAATCTTTTATGTTCAAGGGTCTTGGGGTCCTGTATGCTTTCCATCCCTCTGATCCCTCTGATTTTGTCTCTGTAGAAAGCAGACTTGTAATTTTTATGTTGGAGTGTGTCCTTGCTTCTGTTCATTTATTGTATGTACCACTGACTTTGTGTCTGTATAGATACACTGTATATATACACAGTTTTGCTACAGCTTTAATGATATAATTCACATACCATACAACGTACCCATATAAGGTGGACAATTCAATCATTTTCAGTATGTTCAGAGTGATATACACCCAACTTCCTGTCTGTGCATACATGTAAAAGCCAGGAGGCCCAGAATTATGCATGCATCAGTGCCTCGCTATGTCCACTGAATTTTTGTGTACTCAGCTCACCTATATCACCTGTGTGCACACCCCCGCCCTGAGGCACCCCCACTGCTGCCCCATCCTGCCAAGGCCCTGATCCCCAGCCCACCCACAGGTCAAGGTGGAAAACCAGCATGACTTCCAGGACATCGCAAGCGTCGTGGCCCTGACCAAGACGTATGCCACTGCTGAGCCCTTCATTGACGCCAAATATGATGTGCGCGTCCAGAAGATTGGGCAGAACTACAAGGCCTACATGTGAGTGGAGAAATCGAGGCCTAGGTCCCCTGCTCAGCCCTGTGCAGTTCAGGTCCCCCTGAGTCTCTCTCCTCTCTCCTGTCTCCCAGGAGGACATCAGTGTCAGGAAACTGGAAGACCAACACTGGCTCGGCCATGCTCGAGCAGATCGCCATGTCTGACAGGTGGGTGGCCTGGACCCCGCGGGGAGGGGGAGTGAGGGTGGGACTGTGGCTGCTCCAGCAAGGCACTGACAGGCTCTCTCACCCCGCGTGTTGCCAGGTACAAGCTGTGGGTGGATACATGCTCAGAGATTTTTGGGGGACTGGACATCTGCGCAGTGGAAGCGCTGCATGGCAAGGACGGAAGGGATCACATCATTGAGGTGGGAGAACCCAGGGATTGGTGGGGGCACAGAGGGAGGCGCAGGCGCAGGGGAGCACCAGTCCATAAACTGTGAAGCACTCCATGGCCCAGGAAGTCCTCAGTGAATGGCAAAATGTTTAGTAAACTGCAAAGTGCCTTTTGAACTGGGATACCCTGGCAAATGGCAAAATACGTAGTGAATTGTCAACTGCTTTGTAAACCTGGACATCCTTAGTGAATAGCAAAACATTTGTTAAACTATAAACTGGCTCTGTGAATTGAGCCCCGTTGGTGAATGGCAAAGCACTTAATGATCTTTAAAGTGTTCTGTGAACTGACGGGTCCTTGGCAAATGGCAAAGCGCTATTGTAAACTAAAAGGAACTTTGCAAAGAGTACTGGTTGATCCGAAATCATTCTGTAAACTGTCAGTCAAGTACCTTATAAATGAGGACATGCTTGGTGAACAGCAAAGTGCTTTATAAAACTATCAAAAAGGAGCTCTGTAAACTGGGAAGTTCTCATTATTGAAAGAAAGGGCTCTCAAAATTCTAAGGTTCTTGGTAAACAGTGGTGCCCCTGGTAAACAGTGAAGCAATTTGTAAACTGTAAAATGCCTTGAAAAGTTGAAGTGCTTGGTAAACAAGTACTTCATGCATGATAATGCAGTTTGTAAACATTGGTGCCATTTGCAAAGCACTTCCTGAACTCTAAACACATCATATCTCCCTTATGTGTCAAGGGCAAGGAGCTTTGTAAAACTAAGTTCCTTGTAAAGGACAGAGCACCTAGCACTCTATAAAGCAGGGATGGGCAAGTGTTTTCTGGAAAGGGCCAGGCGGTGCACATGTCAGGCTTTGTGGACCATATAGTAACTATGAGGTACAGTTGAGTAGGTTGAAGCTACTCAACTGCAAAAGCAGCCATAGACAACATATTTTTTTTCACTTTTTTAAAATGATTTTTTACAGAGAGGAAGGGAGAGGAATAGAGAGTTAGAAACATCGATGAGAGAGAAACATCGATCAGCTGCCTCCTGCACACCCCCCACTGGGGATGTGCCCACAACCAAGGTACATGCCCTTGACCAGAATCGAACCTGGGACCCTTCAGTCCTCAAGCCGATGCTCTATCCACTGAGCCAAACTGGTCAGGGCTAGACAACATATTTTTTAAAAAATGTGTGGCCCTAGCCGGTTTGGCTCAGTGGATAGAGTGTCAGCTTGCAGACCCAAGGGTCCCAGGTTCGATTCCCAAGGGCACGTACCTCAGTTGCAGGCTCCTCCCCAGCCTGGGCAGGAGGCAACCAATTGATGTGTTGCTCTCACATTGATATCACTCTCTGTCTTTTCCTCTCTCTTCCACTCTCTCTAAATCAGGGGTCCTTAAACTACAGCCCGCGGGCCACATGCAAATACAAATATTGTATTTGTTCCCGTTTTGTTTTTTTACTTCAAAATAAGATATGTACAGTGTGCATAGGAATTTGTTCATAGTTTTTTTTAAAACTATAGTCCGGCCCTCCAACGGTCTGAGGGACAGTGAACTGGCCCCCTGTTTAAAAAGTTTGAGGACCCCTGCTCTAAATCAATGGAAAAAATATGCTTGGGTGATGATTTTTTAAAAAAATCTGTGGCTGTGTTCCACTAAAACTCTTTTTGGCATAATTTTCACATCATGAAATCTTCTTTTGCTTTTTTTTCAACCATTAAAAAATGTAAAACCCATCCTTAGTTCAGGGCCCATACAAAAACCAGGTGCGGCCTGGAGGCTCTAATTTGCTAGGACAGCACCTCATCAGCTGTCAGTACCTCTCTAGTAGGAGACAAGCCTTCCTCACACTCTTAATCGGTGTCTCTCAGACTGAAGCTCGTTTCCTTGGCAGCCACGGTGCCCTCTGCCAACTTAAAGCACTTAGTCACTGTAACCCTCACATGCACTTCCTCCTCTTTCCTCACTGGGTGTTTTCTCTCCCAGGTGGTGGGCTCCTCCATGCCGCTCATTGGTGACCACCAGGACGAAGACAAGCAGCTCATCGTAGAGCTCGTGGTCAATAAGATGGCCCAGGCCCTGCCCCGGCAGCGGGATGTCTCCCCTGGCAGAGGTTCCCACAGCCAGGTCAGCTACTGATGGGCAGGCCAGCCCTTGCTCCTGCTGTGTCCCAGAGCTAAACAGCAGCAGGCTAAGGGCATCACCATGACGCATGTGATCACAATGACCAGTTGTGTTCAAAATGGACAAATAGCTGCTACCCTGACTTCCCTGAGTGCTTCCCTACCCCTCCCCTGGAGAGTCCCCCCCCCAACAACCTGATGTCCCCCTCAGCTCAGCCACAAACAGGGCAACACCCAGCACACAGGGATCCCCTGCTATTCTGATTGGCTGATGCTCTACTGGCTGGTAGCTATTTTTAACCTCTCCTGTTCCATTCCTCTACCGCAGACTCTGTCCCCAGGGGCCCTGCCCTTGGGCCGCCAGACCTCCCAGCAGCCCTCGGGCCCCCCGGCTCAGCAACGCCCCCCGCCACAGGGTAAGTGAGGGGCCGCCTTCCCGGTGCCTACCCTCCAGCAGCCCCCTACCTCTCACTTGCTGGCTCTCACATGTGAACCCTTTTTCTCTGTCGCTCAGGTGGCCCTCCACAGCCGGGCCCAGGCCCCCAACGCCAGGGACCTCCGTTGCAGCAGCGCCCGCCCCCACAGGGCCAGCAGCACCTTTCAGGCCTTGGACCCCCAGCTGGCAGCCCCCTGCCCCAGCGCCTACCAAGTCCCACATCAGCATCGCAGCAGCCTATGTCCCAGGCTCCACCACTGACCCAGGGTCAAGGCCGCCAATCCCGGCCAGTGGCAGGAGGACCTGGGGCCCCTCCAGTAGCCCGCCCGCCTGCCTCCCCATCTCCCCAGCGCCAGGCAGGCCCCCCACAGGCTACCCGTCAGACATCCGTCTCTGGTCAGGGGCCACCAAAG